CACACACACACACACACACACACACACACACACACACACCATTGCTTCAGAAAGGAGCAAATTCAAAGCTGGCTTCATCCCAGAATTATGAAGAAGACACCAGTACTTCAGAAGAGCAAAAGCTCTACAATACCAGGACTAGGAAGAGGTAACTAAAGGAAAGAAAATTGAAAACCTGCACCGAGAATATCTCTTCTAGGCCAAAAAGACACTTTTCCTCTCATCGAAATTACAAGAATTGAGTCTAACACAGAGACCCATCCTTGTCTATTCTTGGAAAGGGATCTTAACTTGAAACTGTCCAAGAGCTCAAACCAATCCAATAGCAAGAGAAAGGGTGGCTGGGGTGCCCGCAGATAGGAGGAGCCCCTGAGCCCGGCCCTGGAGGCCTCAAGGGTTCAGGGGCCCACTCAGATTGTGCCAGAGAGCAAGAGAGAGGAACTGGGGTGAGCAGGCGCTGTGGCTTTGTCTGTTTCCTGTTTCAGCAAGGCTTCTGTGCAAGGAGAAACAGTACCAAGAAGGGAAATGCTAAGGGGACCCAGAGCCATGGATTGAGAGCTGCCACTTTACTCAGCTGCTATCTCGCCCCATCTGAAGCCAGAGCCAAGATCTGCCCGGGAGCTGGAAGACCTTTCTGAGCTGCTTGGGTTGGAGCCTGGGACCTGAGGTAACTGAAAAGGCGGATGTTTTGTGTTCAGGTTGGGGTCCTCCGACTCGGGTGGAACAGAAGACCCTGCATCCTCTGAGCTTCCCGGTCTGAAGGTGGAGACTCGGGAGCGGATGGTGGAGTTTGAGTGCTGGGTGTTGGGCAACCAGGAAAGCACCCCGTGTTGGTTTCCAGAGCCACGGGCCCCAGCACGGCTCCACTGCTCCTCCCCTCCATCCATTAGATTAAACTAGGAGTGAGTCAAATGACAGGGTTCAGGCTACCCAGTGACAGGGGCGTAAATTAGATGAACGTTTACAGTTCCCTTCAGAGCAGGGATCACCCCAAACAAGAAGCCGCCTTTGCAGCGCCGTAGGTGTAGGCCCTTCTGCCCTTGGCTCACACCGAGCTCTGGGCCAGGAAGGCCAGACCCACGCAGGAGGCCGGTCACTGCAGGAAGTGGGAGCAGGGACCTGGAGTGGCAGACCCGGATGTCTCCCTCTGGCAGTGAGGGCTGCTCCCAGCCAGGCCCATGTCTCCCCCGAGCTCCACTGGGCCCTGTCATGCTGCCAAGGGGTGCCCCACAGATACCAGAAAGCCCAGGCCGTGGCCCAGTGACCTGTCTTTGAACCACACAGGGGCCAGTTCCTTTTTCTTCTACAGCCAGTCCCTGTCAGTCAGTGTCCCTCATGGTTTCTTGTGTGCAAGCAAATCAGAAAAGTCAAGCTGTCCCAGAGAGCTGAGCGTGATTCCACTCAGCTGTCCACACCAGGTCCCACCGGGTGCGAGGGCCTGGGGGCCGGGAGTGCTCCCCTCTCTAAGGAGCCGTTTCAGCCCATCTCCCCACTTGGGTAACAAGCTCCAGCCTCTGCCCCAGGAAGCAGAGGGGGACAGCCTGGCGGAGTCCAGAGCCCTTCCCTCAGCCTCGGGCTGCTCCCCACAGCCCTTTCCTCTTCACAGCAGGAAGGCAGGGGATTCTTCACAAGCAGGGATCTGCCTCCTCTACCAGCCTGTGCACTGCCTGGAGCCAAACAGGGTGGGGACCTCGCACCCCACATTTAATGGTGGAGTGCAGGCAGGCTGGGCACCAGTTCTTCACCCCCATCTCTTCTCTGCCTTTCTGCCCGGCCTAATCGAGAAGGTGGTTGTGTCCAGATCACAGAGAAGTCCCTTCTTTTTCTGGCCCAAACCCACAAGCCAGATGATCCAGAGTAATAAATACAATGACATCCCTGGACCAGCACCCCCTCTGAGGGATAAACAGTGCCCTCCAAAGAGAAACGGGGTGGGGGGACTGGAGGGCAGGACATGCTTGGTCCTGGGAACACTAGGCTAGCTCGGGGCCTATGTCTTACAGCACCACATCTTTAATATCCACAATCCGCAAGGCAGGGGTAATAATAATCATAGTTTATCCTTATTATTACAAAAAGCTGATAGTTATTGTGTGCTGTGTGCCAGATGCTTTTTATCTCATAACCTTATGAGATAGGCTCCTATTTTATAAATGAGGAAACTGAGGTTTAGGGATGTTTAAGTGTCAGAGCCAGGACTTGAAGCCACACTGTCTGAGCCCAGAGCCAGGGCTCCTGCCTCCCCCATCCATGGCAGAAAAGCCAGGGGCTATGCACAGGATGCCACAGCGTAGATTCCGGACATGGAGTTCACCTGCCCATAGTCCCAGTCTCCTCCATGCAGTCATTTATAACCTAATACGAATGGGCTTCTCGGATCCTTGTCTAAGCTTTTAAATAAAGAAAGTGGCAGGTGGGACGTCAGGGGATCCGTACAGAGTGAAGAGAAAAGCCTAAAGAAAGGTGAGAGCCAGCCAGGGATGAGATGATAGAACATATATGACAGCAACTCACAGCTCTGCTTGGAGTTGGCCTTGCCCAGGCCAGACTATGCCCCTCCAAGACCCAGGCAATTGAGAGGGTGCAGCGCTCAGTCACATAAGACCCCTCTCAGGGAGTGAGACTACCCACCCATGGCCCCAGGAATGAGCAGTATGATCACAGAGAGAGCAAGAGTCCTGCGGAGAATTCCAGACTGAGCCAGATGGGCAGCAAAGTTCCAATGAAGGAGCAGAGACTCTGCTACCTGTTGAGTCTGTTTGGCCTGTAAATAAACCCGAGGGGCCAGAGCTGGAAAAACACTGCTGTTGGTGAGATGGAGGAACCCTCTCTGACCTACCCAGGAACTGAGGTTCCCAGGGTGTTGGGTAATGAGGTTGTGGGACCAAGACGAGAAGCGGCAGCTGTAAGGGGAGTTCCTCTTCCTTCCTCAGTCACTCCCGTGATCGGTGGAGGCACAGAATTTCCAATGCTCAAGATCCAGCTCGGCCAAGTCCAGCCCCAACTCAGCCAAGCTATCAGAGGGTCTAGGAGAAGAAACAAATTTGCAGAAGGTAGGTGAGGGGGTGTAGGAGAGAGGAAGGAGAGCACAGAGAAGGGAGAAAGATTTGGGGGTTATGTGAGCAGCACGTAGTAGGGCCACATAAAGGGGCCACAAAGCGGGCCTCTACAGGAATGCCTGGGGACTTCAGGTTATTATTTTCTTTTGTTTCTGTTTCGTTTTTGTTTGTGATGACCTTATTGAGATATACTAGGTGTGGCTGCTGGTTTTGATGGCACAGTCTGTGTCTGGGCCAAGGAAAACAGACTTGACACCGTATTTAGCTCTGACAGGAAGGTGATTAAAAAAAAAAATGGAACCTCAGCTCAGAGAATTATTGAGCTGGAAACTCTGAAATGGGTTTTGTCAGCACTGGGCCTGTGGCAGGTGCTTGGCCAATACTGATTTGGGTTGATCTACAGCTGAGAGTCAGGGCTCCGGCCTGGGCTGAGAGTGGGTTGCCAATGGACCAATGTGAGGACATCATGATTGGGGGAATTAGGGTGGGGGTTCCACCACCACCCCTCCCCCCCCAGAACATGCCCAGGACCAAACTCACAAGCTGGTTGCTAAAGGCTAAGAAGAAAGCAGTGGGTGCTGGTCTCAGGACTGGCCACACCTCTCCAGGCCTTGAAAAGAGTCACTCACCCTCTAGAAACAACCTGGGTCAAGAGAGCAGTAGATGCTGGCTTTTCCTTTAGATCTGGGAACAGGGAGCCAACTCCACTGGTTCTCCAGAAGTCCCTGGAGAATGAACATATCCCTGCCATCCAAAAGGTGACACGCTCATGATGACTTTTACCCGTTATTTCTCATGGTCCCCTGACTAGGAGGCAGGGTGAGATGTTCGGTCGATGAAGAAGTGACCACCAGAAAGACTTTTCCACGTTGCAGGGGGGGAGACAAAGGCCAGAGAAAAGCAGAAATTAGCAGAGACTGGACCCCGGAGTCCTGACTCCGTGTGACATCATCACCTCCTGAGTGTTCAGCCCACGTGTATATGCTCTTTCTGCCCCCTTGTCTCTGCCCATCTCCTGACCCCTCCCTTCTCCTCCCTCTTGGCATTTGGCAGATCCCAGCAGCTATTCCAGGACCTGGAAGCCAAGCACAACAGGTGCTCGGGGCTCATCATGATCAGCCCGGACCCCAGGCCTTCCGGCGGCCTGGCCCGGGGGGCCGAGAGCTACGAGGCCAAGTACGAGCGCCGGCAGGAGACGCGGGAGAGCCGCCGCTGCCGCCCCAACAGGACCACCTGCCGCCAGGCGGGGAGGGCGCTGGGCACCCCGCAGAGAGAACAGCTCCGGAGGGCCCGGCAACAGCAGTTCCTCAGGAGGAGGAACCTGGAGACAGAGGAGAGAGACACAGCACAGGGCCCCCCGGACAGGGGGCCAGGGCTCTCCGGGAGGCCGGGCCAGGCCTCCGACCTCAAGAAGCCCTTGCCTTGGGCCAACGGGATTCCTTCCCCCAGACAGCAGGTGGGCCACGTCTAGGGACACGTTGCTCTGTTGGGGGATGGGTGGGCTCAAGGTCACTAAAAAGTGATTTAAATTGAGTCCCTTCTTCCTCAGTCATATAGTAAAGTCCCCCTTAGCCACTGATTCATGCAGAGATTTTTGTTGTGTTTTTTTGCTTGTCTGTTTAGCTATTTTTTATTTTGCGCTTGCCTTATAGGAGAGAAAAAATAATTTTAAAAACAATTCCACTGCTAATTCCTAGTATCAGTTCAGATTTAGGCAATCTACATATCTTCTACAGCATTCATTCATCCATCATTCAACAAGTATTTATTGAATGCTTGTTGTGTGCCAGGTACCCTGGCCAGTCTTCTTGATGTGCCTCTCGAAACACACACACACACACATCCATCCTCTACTCTTCTGCGAGCTGTTGCACCCATCCACCTTCTCTCTTTCTCTTGGGCCATTCTAATTCTACTAAATTCACCCAGCTAAGGCCTCATCTGGCCCAGAAAGCCTTCCCTCGCTTCTCCAGGCCACCTCTGTTCTCTGTGGTTCTTATGAGGTTATTGATCCTCTGAGATTAAGTAACGATTAGATAACCCATTAGTCTGGCCTGGGAGGAAGCTGTGTTGGCAAAAGAAACAGGGTATGTCAAAATGACCTCAGCCAGCAAACTATCTGTGTCTTCCTGTGGCTGTTGCGAGCATGCTGACAGCAGGGGTGGGGCCACTGCATTCCCTAGAAACGCCTAGCATTGTGCCCTGTGCTCTGTGGATCTGTTGTCCACAGTCGGAAGCGCTGTTCAGAAAAATGATCCTCAAGCCCAGCTGTAAAATAAAACCAACTGTGTACTTTCTAAGGCAAGAAGGCTTCTGAACACTTTTGTTGAAAAAAATTTAAGGAGAAAAAGATCAGGCCCTGGCTGGTATGGCTCGGTTGGTTGAGCATAGTGCCGTGCACCGAAAGGTCACTGGTTCGATTCCCATTCAGGGCACAAACCCAGATTTGTGAGTTCGAACCCCAGACAGGGTGCATATGGGAGGCAACAGATCGATATTTCTCTCTCCCATTGATATTTTTCTCTTTCCCTCTCCCTCTCCCTTCATCTCTCTCTAAAATCTATTTTTTAAAAAAAAGGTCCAGAAACACAATTAACTAAAGAATTCCTACTGAGCCTATCAGTTATCTAAAGTTTTATCGAGACTGAGACAGTCTGCATGATTAAACACCACAGGCATTTCTCGGCCTCTGAGTGTTGTTACAAGCATAGAATTTTTGAATGTGTAAGAAGAAAATATAAAAAGCGCAGACTAAATTGTGACAACTACTACTATACCCCTCCCTGCAACTCCCTAGTTTACCTTCTCTTCAAGCACACCTCAGAGATATTCCAGCTATTTGTAAGAGGAAGGAAGCCATCTCTAGAATATAGGAGGGACCTTAATGTTTATCTACTTCGAACTCATTACACAGGAGACCGAGACCTGGAAAAGGCAGGCTCTGATCCCAGATCCCCTCACCCCCGACTGGGGCCAGTTCACTTTCCATATCACCATGCTGGCTGCATAAGTGGCCGAGACCAAACAAGGTAGCTTGGGATTCTAGAGAGCATAATTGGAGACAAGCCCAGCTCCTGGTTTCCTGGCTTGAGGAGGGCCATTCCTGCCAGCTGGAACAAGAGCGAATAACCTTGTAGCTTTGGAGTCTTGAAGGGGTTACTTTGGTCCTCTGGGCCTGAAACTTGATCACTGGTTCATCTTTCTGCAGTCAGCTGGAGAATCCTGTCCTAGTGACTCTGGGCTTCCAGCATCCCCCACTTGCTTTCCAGGTGTCAGGGACCAGCTCTGAGGTCTTTCCAACCCAGCATCATCCTCTCTCAGGCGTCTGGAGGGATCTGGCTGATCACCTCCCCTCCCAGGCCGGGGGCCTTCCACCTCAGGACTTTCCCATCAAGAAGCCACCCAAACACCACCGTGGTAAGAGCAGAGCCTCCCTCCCTCACTGGGGCCTGCCGAGAATCCTGCCGAGTCAGTCCCAGCTCGCTGGCAGAGGAGAGTCCTTGCCCCCCCCCCCCACTTCTTCCTCCCTGGTTCTGAATCACCCGATCCTCCATCTCTCAGGCACTCAGACAAAAGCCAAAGAGGCACAACCAACAGTTAAGAATGATGCCAGTCAGCAAACCAAGTGAGTGCCTTTCATGTTCCTGACCCCAGCTCCCTCACATCCCATCCATTCCTCTCCTCTAAGCGTTACTTGAATACCCTCACCCAGTGTGTAGGCAACACGGTGAATTTCCATGTCCACCTTAATTAAAAAAGAGGAAGAGCGTCCCACCTTACTGACTTTTCAGAAGAGACTAGAGTCAGCCCACCACCTCCTGACGTGCTACTTACTTTGCTCCATTGTCATTTCTGTTTTTATTTCTTCTCTCTCTAGTTATGGAGTTGCAGTTCTAGATAAGGTAAGAAAATCCTTACCTTGGAGGGGCGAATCATGGTAGATAAGCTGCTCCAAACTCTGATGTTCTGGGATTCCATGATAAACTCAGCTGGGATGGAGGGGCCCCTTCCCCTTGGAGGAGCACAGCCATGAGGGGCTGGAGGGACTTTTTCTGAACCAAGAGGGGGGGGGAGAGTTTGCTGTGTACAAGTCAGTCCCGGCTCTGGTTGCATGTTCCAGGGCTCCAGGAGAACCAGTCTTCTTGACTACCCTTTTCCTTCCTCTGTAGGAAATCATCCAGCTTTCCGAGTACCTCAAAGTAAGTAACATGTGAACTCTCCCCTCAGCTCCTCCATCCGTCTACTCCTTTCTCCTCCAGGTTAATCTCACCCTCTTGCATTCTGCCCCCCAGGAGGCCCTACAAAGGGAGCTGGTTCTAAAACAGAAAATGGTGATTCTCCAAGACCTACTGTCCACCCTGATCCGGGCCTCTGACAGTTCTTGGAAGGTAAGGGAAATGAAACCTTTGTTTGAACAAAGCTCGTGGGCTTCTAAGTCTGCCTATGTCATTCTGTTTTCTATGTCACCCCAGCAAGAGGAGGGGTTTTTCTCACTACTGAAGAGGCAGGAGGTAGGGAGTGATGCTAAGAGCTAGAAGGGAAACAGTGAAGACCTAGAGGTCACAGTAGATATGTGGGACGGCTCGGCTAAACCCAGGGTCATCAGCTGAGGGCTACGCCGCTGCACACCCAGGGAGGACCCAGACCCAAAAGGGGTAAGAATCCCGAAATTTTAATTTGTTGGAAGAAAAGAATGAAGATTCAAGTACAGTTAATAGGACTAACTGTGGTAAATGTCAATTATTTTTGTATGGGATTCACGCCAGCATGAACTCCCAGCCGGCACACGCCTGCTACTCGGCCCAGGCAGGAATACGAGAGTGGGAAAGAACCTTAGAGGTCATCTCATCTAACTTTCTCGTTTTGCCCACGAGGAAACTGAGTGTCAGAGAGGTCAAGTGACTAACTTCAAGTCACACTGCTGGTTAGAGGCAGAACTGGAACTAAAATTGAGACCTCCTGATTTCAGTCCACTCAGTCAACAAATATTCATAGATCATGTTCTCTGTACTGAGCACTGGAAATAATGAGATTAATTAGACAGGGTTCCTGCTTTTAGAGAGCTTGTGGTTTTGTCAGGGAGACAGATGCCCAAACAATGCAGAGATATGGGACATGGAAGAAATGTTTTCAGCCCCGGCCAGTGTGGCTCAGTTGGTGGAGCATCATCCTGTGCACTGAAAGGTGGCGGGTTTGATTCGCAGTCAGGGCACATGCCCGGGTTGTGGGCTACATCCCCTGTAGGGGGCAGTGTTCTGCTCTTACATTGATGTTTCTCTCTCTCTACCTTCTTCACTCTTTAAAAAAGATCAATTAAAAGTAAATAAAAACCAAAGAACTTATATGCATATATGCATAACCCATGGACACAGATGATAGTGTGGTGAAGGCCTGAGGGAGGTGATGCGGGAACAAGGTGGAGAGGGTCAATGGAGGGAAAAAAGGGGACATCTGTAATACTTTCAACAATAAAGATAATTTTTTTTAATTTTTAAAAGGAAATGTTTTCAGAATATAGTAGTATACAAGAAGGAATGAATAACTCTAGAGAAGATGAAAACCAAAGAAATATTTATAATTACATAAGTATTTTCCAAGCAAATGTTGAAGAAGGAACTATATTCTAGACAGGGGATACGGCACAGGGAAAGACTGAGAGACTTAATATAGTCTAGCACAGTGAGTCACCAACTTTTTAATCTTAGGATCCCTTTATACTCTTTAAAAAAACTTTTTGAATCTCCCAAACTTTTTATATTTATATTTTTACATTAGATTTTACCATATTAGAAATTAAAACAGGAATCTTAAAATATATATTAACCATTTCATTTTAAAATTTTTATTTATTGATTTTAGAGAGAGAGGCAGGGAGAGATAGAGAGAGAGGGAGACAAACATGGATTTGTTGTTCCATTTAGCTATGCATTCATTGGTTGATTCTTGCATGCACCCTAACCAAGGATTGAACCTGAAACCTTGGCATATCAGGACAGCGTTCTAACCAACTGAACAACCCAGCCAGGACAAAATCTAGATTACCTTAAAATAACAATAATAAATCCATTACATGCTAGCCTAAATTTTATATTTTTATTAAAAAGTAAGTGTGTTTTTAAAAAATAGTGAGAGGAGTAGCATTGCTTTAAACTTTTGCAAATCTTTTTCTTGTCTGGCTGAGCAGAAGACAGCTACTTACCCATATCTGCTTCTGCATTCAGTCTGTTGTGATGCATTGCTTTGGTTGATGCATATGAGGAAACTCATCTGTAGTTGGAAAAGGGAAGATCTCCTTTGAAAGGGTCCCAGGGATTCCCAGGGGTCCTCGGACCCCACATCGAAACCCCTAGACTAGTGTGTTTAGGGAGCAACAAGCAGCTGGACGCCGTCAGAGCATAAAGCACCAGGTGCCAAGGGAGAACGCACACCCTCGGGGGCCTCTCTGAACATCTAGTTCACCACGTAGACAGTTTGTGCTTAAACAGAGAGAGGAAATGGGAGGTGGTGGAACCAAACTGAGATGTGAGAAAGATTTCCTAAGCTCAGCCTTCCCTCCTCACATTCGTCATTGTCCCTGGGTTTAAGTATTTGTGTTCCAGATTCCTGATTGTTAAGGAAGTCGTTTTCATCTGTAGAGTAGGAGCCTGGGGCAGACAGCTCTGCATGCCAGAAGGTTCCCAGTGCTGGACTAAACTGAGATTGTCTCACTCACTTATTCAACGGACATTGACAAGTTCCAACTATGTGATGGGCCCTGTGCTACAGGGAAATACGAGGAGTAGGGTGTTTGCTGCTGAGGAGCTCACACTCCAGCAGGAAAGGGAGAGACATGCAATAAACAACTCTAATACAATGTGATAAAGCTATAACAGCCCCATCTACAAAGTGACACAATGAAAAGAGAAGAGATCTATCATTCAGCCTGAGGTGGAAGAGAGTAGGTTCTAAAGGACAGGGACCATTTTAACTGGGTCCTACAGGGTGAGTAGGAGTTTACCGGTACAAAAGTGGGGATCATGACGGGGAAGAAAAGCAGACAGGCGGCAAAGAAACCAGAATGATTACAGGCCAAGGTATGATAAAGCATTGGGCGTAGCAGAGTGTGGCTGAAATGAAGCGATCATGTCAGATTAGTTCCAAAGATAAGACCAGAAATGACCTCAGACAGGTCTCTAGAAATATGAGGTTTAAACTTTTTCTGTTGAACATAGTAACTCAAACTTAAATCATGTACAGACTCCACTTTAGAGGGAAAACACAGATATCTCAGATCTATGAGATTGCCTGTTATCACCTGTTTGGGAAACACCGCTCCAGACAATAAGCTGGATAGCAATGGAACTATGTTTTATTCAGGTTTAAAGTCCTACAGTGTCTGGTACATCCTTAGAAGGAGTTCAGTTAATAGTTCTGGAATTGAACTGAAAGGGAGTGACGAGATCAGTGTTTTAGAAGGTCCTCTGACAACAGCGAGGAAGGACCCTAGCTCCGGGTGGGCGCAGGCGGGTGAACACTCCTGTAATATCCCAGGTAGGGCACAATCAGAGCTTGAATGACAGCAGGCTCGGTGGAATGGGGAGGGATGTGAAGAGACATTTCTGAGGTTGGCCATGAGGCAGTTTCCCCCGCCCTCCAGCAGGCCAGCAGATGTTCCTCTGGCTGCAGGTTTCCTCCCTCCTTCATCCCACCCCTCCCTCTCCTCTCCCTCCCCTTCTCCTCCACGCCACCAACCCCGCCTCCTAGCTTCCTGTTTTCAAGAAAAATAGTCTCAGACTTCCAACGAAGACTTTTCAGTTACTTTCCCCCCAAAACAAGGCAATTCAACCTTCTATCCCTTCCATGGAAGCCTCAACTTCAATAAAAGGATAGCCAGTCTGTGGTATTTGGAGAAAATAATTGGTAGGATGTGGCCAGAACAGGGATTCTGACATTCAGCCCAGTTCAGGCCTTTATTTTTCCCATTTCGCCTCCATGATTTGAATCTCCAACTTCAAATGCAGAGATGCTCACCGCAAACTCTGTTAGGACCCCAAGGATCAGCTCCCTCCATTGCCTCCAAACTCCAAGTTGACTCTTGGCCTTTTGGAAGCGATAGGCCCTAAGGCTCCACCAGAGTCCTAAGCTGGTACAATCTTCAGAACAGAACAGTTCGGGCAGGAAAGCAAGCTCTTGGTATTGAGCAATAAAAAACAGGAGCTGGACACCAGTGGGTTTTTTAAGTTCCGCAAAGTAAAAAGGAGATCTTGAGATGACAGCTCAGAAGGGGATTGGCTGCAAGTCCCAAGACACCTCTGCTAGAGCAGAGACGAGCTGGGGGCTGGCGCTGGCGCTTCTGCCGTGAGGTGCTAGCGTTTCTGGAGAACAGAGGCAGGGGAGAGCCACATAGAAGCAGGAGCTGTAGCCCTCAGACCGGCACCAGGTGTGTATGGCCCCCATCTTGCTCCCTTTTCCAAATGGGGGACTGTGCTCTCTGAGCCCTGGGCTCCAGGGGTGTCATTGCCCCCAAAAGTCCACATAAGCCCTGTAACAAGTGCTTCTCCCCACATCCTATACCACTGGGCTTCATGTGGGGCGAGCTGGGGCTCAGATCAGGGAACCACATGCCCCATTTGCAACTACTTGGCTGCAACTGTCCTGCCTGCCTTGGGGAATCTGGGAAGACAGAGCTGTAGACAAGAGATTTTTTTTTTTTAACCCCAGACTTGAGTGGCCCTTTATCCCTGCTGAAGGGGGTATCCTGAATTGTATTATATTGCAAGATGAATAGAAAAGTTATCTGGGCTGCGGCTAAAGTACAGAAACAGTTGGAAGAGGTAAAACATTGAATTAAAACGATAGTAAGAACGGAGGGAGGAGCTACGCAAAAGGATAGGACACTGGGGAAAATGTAAGAATATTGCCTTGGGTTGGTCTGTTTTCTTTCCAAACTATAGCAAGATAAACCTAAAACTCAGTGGGTTTCATTGCAGCCTGCATAGTAAGAGTTCAGGCAAAGGGAAGTGCTCCAAGTCAGAGGATCTAAAGAAGGAGGGAGTGGATTTCAGGATCTGTGGGTTGACAATGAGCAGGCCACTCTGGGGAATGCAGCCCTGTAACCAGTTATTCCAAAGCCCAGACAGTGGAAGCCTTTGTCTGTCTCTTTTATCCGTCCCAAAGCCCTGTGGTCATTCTACGTGCGAAATCCCTGACTCTCAGCTCTCACACGAGACCAGACGTTGTAAAAAACGTTAATAGCAGGAGACACTTTGAAAAATTATTTTTCACAAAGCCTTTTGCTTTTGCAAGCCCCAGCTGAGTAATACAGGAAGCAGAAAGGGTGGGGGCACCCCTTGGCTCCCCTGGTTAGAAGAATCAGCCAAACAAGAGAAGAACAGGAGCTGTGAGATACCACTTCCTGCCTCCCCCAGGTGCCCTGAAAGTCCCTGAAGGGGGGCAAACCCCAAAACAGTGTCCCCTCCTTTGACCCCAGGCTGTTACAGACTGGAAAACATTAGGAGGGTTGGAAATGCCTCTGAGAGGAGCCATGGTGCCTCAGGCCTGAGGAGAAATGTAATTTCCACATCTCACAAGTGTCCCATGGGGCCTGGCTGGGAAAAGCCAGAGAAAGGATATGAAAACCAGTTCATCCTCAGGAGACCCACAGCCTTTACTTTGGGAAAGGAGCTCTGGATGGCACCCTCCTCTCCCCCACCCCCTCATATACACAACCTTAAATCAAATCAGGGCTAGAAGCACAAAACCCCTGGGGGGGTGGGGAAGGGACAAGTCTACAGGTGGAGGGAGGAACAAAGCAGCAAGGAGGTTGTTCGTTACTCAGCTGAAATACTGAGAAACGGAGGCACAGATCATGGCCCCTTCTGCCTGCTTGTCTCTGCCCACACCCTTGAGATTAGCATCCCTCTTGCAGTGTCCAAAATGCCATTAGACAGATCCAGCGTACGAATAAGTAGAACGCAGCTTCCTGGAAAGCCCTCTGAGCCCCCCACTTCTGGCTTTCTCAAAGAATTTCTCATTTTGAGTCCTGGCCAGGGTGGGGGGGTGCCTCGGGCAGCCAGGGGAATGTGCTGGTTTGCTAGGCCTGCTGCAACCAAGTGCCAAAGGCAGAGTGGCTTAACCAACAGAAACTTATTACCCCACAGCTCTGGAGGCTGGAAGTCTGATTAAGGTGCCGACAGGGTTGATTTTTTCCCTAAGGTGTCTCTCCTTGGCTTATAGGTGGCTGTCTTCTCCCAGTGTCTTCACATGGTCTCCGCTCTGTGTATCCTGATGTCCTAGTCTCCTCTTCTTATGAGGACACCAGTCATATTGGAATAGGGCCAACCCCGATGGGCTCATTTTAACTTAACTGCCTCTTTAAAGATCCTGTCTCCAAATACAGTCACATTCTGAGGCACTGGGGCTTAGGAGGCCAACTTGTGAATTGGGGGGTGTAGAGGGGGGCCACAATTCCGCCCATAACAGAGGCTAAGGGAGAGGATGTATATTCCCCCTGGGAGGGGAGACCCCTCTAATCTTCTTGGCCTGTACTTTAGAAGTGAAGGTCCACGTGCAAGACTAAGAGAGGTGAGGTGCCCAGCCAGGCAGGGGAGAGAGGAAATGAGGGAAGAGAGGACCGCTTAGGAGCTTTCCTTCGAGTGGACTCCTGCTAGGATTCCCTGAGCCATTTGATAGAGGACCTCGAGGTACAGAAAGGGCTTTGGGGGTCAGTCCGATTCTTCCTACTCCACAAAAAGAGGAAAAGATCCTCTTCTACCCCCAAATCCTTTGTCATCTTTCTTCCTCCCTACCTCTTGAAAGAGCTCAGTTTCCCAAACACCAGGCACAGACCATGTTCTAGGCGGCAGGCTGGGAATGCAGAACAAAACATTTTGTATACTGAATTTTGGCTCAAGCTCTTCTCCTTATCGCATTCGTTCCAGGGGCAGCTTAATGAAGACAAACTGAAGGGCAAACTGAGATCGTTAGAAAACCAGCTGCACACCTGTACCCAGGTAAGCATTCTGGGGAACACTTCCAGCCCAGGAACCGAGCATTGAGGTGAATGCTTGAAGCTGCCCTATGCTCTAGAATTGCCACCCGATAGAGATAGGGCACGCATTCCTACTCCCCCAGTTCTGGCTTCCCCATTTGCACTTTGATCCCCACTTACCATATGTCCACACTCTATCTCCACCCTCCTCTCCCTTTCTCCCAGTGCACCCTGGGACCGAAATTCAGCACCAAGCACTTTGCTAGCTCCAGGGCAACCTTGAGAATACCTGAAACTGTAGGGAGGAGCCCTTGGTAAAGACTCACACCACCCAGATAGGCCTACGCAGATCCCAATTTTTAAACAGATGAGTCGAACGTTATAATGAAATTCTGCAAAATTATTTCTGTTGCATGGGCAGCTTTCATCTTGTAGCAACCTGCGGGAGATGCTGTAAGGCTGTGACTCTTGGCTTCCCTGCGACATTGTTACCCAGCTTCGGTACTCTCTTGATTGACCTGATCTTGGATTACAAGAGATAGAAAGAAACCAGCTTTCAGACTTGAGAAGTGATGCATTTCCGATAGGTGGGGACATTTCAGATGATACTGAGGTGGAGCAGGAAGACTGCTCCTATCTGGAATTAGGGGGATAACGTGGACCTGGCCACACAGTTAGAGTCTTGCAGAAGAGTTTATTTAGTCTACAGATTTGCTGATGATCCACAACTTTAAATTTTCAGTATGACCTCTTTTGTCAGACAAGAACATAGGCCCATTCACATTTAAATCCAAATTTTCAGATGATTCCAAAGCTAAATGGGAATGATTTCATATTGATCCCTAAATTTGCATTATCTAGGTTACTGCTTACCCAATGGGTAATCCAGAATTGACAATAAAAGCTACCTGTGTTCCCTAAAATCACAGGGCATAAAGATGAAAGACATGGGGACCTGGCTGGGGGGCTCAGTTGATTGGAGCATCGACCCACACACCAAAAGGTTGCAGGTGGAATGGAAAGATAGACACACACAGGGGGTACTATGTGAACACTGAAAAAAGCTAACTAACCCATAATGAGTTAGGGAGTGGGGGTAAGATTTATCAGAACTTACACGGTTCTTGGGCTGAATCTTGAGCATGAGTAGAAGTTAACCAAGTGAAAAGGGTGGGTAAGGATACTCTAGGCAGAAGCAGCTCCATGGGCAAAGGCAGAGGCCAGACAGCACAGTGCTTAGGGAATCTGCAAGCAGTTCAGCTGGGTGGAGACAGCATAGAATGAAAGTCTGGGCCTATTAAGTAGGAACCATGCGAAGGAGTTTTGACCTGATCCTTAGAACACTGGGAATCCACTGAGAGGCTGAAGCAGGTTGTGACATGATCAGATTTGCATTTTAGAAAGAACCTTGTAGCTGTGGGTTTGAAGGGAGGCAAGTCTTAAAGATAAGGAGACTATTGCATTAATCCGTATAATAGTATTAGAGTCTGAACTAAGGGATAGAGGAGACAGGTGTGAGCTGTAAAGGAGGTTGACTTGACAAAGGTCAGTGACCAACTGAATACTGGGAGAAGGTAAGAGAGAAATCAAGGTGGCTCCCTGGCTTAGGGCTTGGGAGATTGGCTAGTCACTGAGATAAGGGAAACCCAAGAGAAAGGAGCAGATTTAGAAAGATGGTTTCTCTTTGGAATTGTTGGATTTCAAGTGCCTGTGGTAGGCCTAGGGCACAATGCCCAGCAGGTCAAGGGCCCTGTTTGTTATCTCCACTCACCTTTCACATCGCCTGAGGGACTTTCCCTGCTCACCTCTAGCCTAGAAGAAAAGCTCCACCAGATTATTGGTATCTCTGCCCTGCAGGCAAATTCTTTTCATTTCTGTATCCCAGCTCAGGATTTGGCACACAGAAACTCAGTGTGTATTTGTTGAATTGCATCAAATTTACAGAAATATTCCCCTTGGGGAATGAAAAAGGTACTAATGGAGATGGAAGACCAGAAGAACAGCTATGAGCAGAAAGCCAAGGAGTCCCTGCAGAAAGTGCTGGAGGAGAAAATGAGCGCAGAGCAGCAACTGCAGAGCACGCAGGTGCGGGGATGCGGCGTGGTACTTGGAACTGGGGACCCATGGCAGCTCTGGGAGCCAGCTGCACAACTCCAGGGAACCCCAGGGTACCACCCTCTCCCTTGATCTCCCTCAGCGATCCCTGGCTCTGGCTGAGCAGAAGTGTGAAGAGTGGAGGAGCCAGTACGAGGCTCTTAAGGAGGACTGGAGGACCCTGGGGACCCAGCACAGAGAACTGGAGAGCCAGCTCCATGTGCTCCAGTCCAAACTGCAGGTACCAGGCCCTGGAGGTGGGGAGGCGGGAGAGGAGGCAGGGTTTAGGGGAAGGAGGGTTGGTGACAGCAGTGATGAGTGAAGCTGCTCCTGGGCTGGGGGCCCCAAAGGAAGCTGAGAGCATCTGGCTTTCAGTTCCTCACTCTCTGCCCGCTTTGTACCAGACCCACTGTTTTGGCTCTGAAATCTAATTTTGAGTCTAGCGAGGATGTCTGCACTGCCAATGCAAACAAACTAAGGGTTCACTGGAATGACACCATCCAAATGCAAAGGGCTGAAATAGTCACCAGCCTACTGTCATATCCCAACCCACCCTCTGCACCCCATCCGCATACAGCATCCAGTTGAGAAATGCCCAGAACAAAGGTCACTAGTTTACTTTAGGTTGAGTATGAAGTAACACATCCTGCCACATCCTTGGCATTCTCAAGGGTTCCATCATTTCTGATCTGCGTTACCTAGGAAAAGCTAACTAACCCCCTAAGCCTGTTTCCTCATCTCTAAAATGAGGATAATAACAGTAGCTGTATCATAGGATTGCTGTGAGTGTTCAGTGATGTGATCCATGTCTCTACGTGTCTCTACACTTAGCACAATGCCTGGTACATATAACCCCTCAATAAATACTAGCTTTTTTTCATAGATTTTTCTTACTTGGTTTGGAATTTTGAGGACCCACCTCAAAAATCTATCTAAGTTTACTGAAGCAGGGATCTGGATACGGTTCATTTGATAAGAGGGTGTCTTATCGAAGGAGTGAACCTCGCTGGCCACTGCATTGCATCCGTATCTCAATCACCTACAAGGCAACTCTTATAAATCTTTTTCTTGTTAACCTTAATTCTTTGTGGAAAATAACACTACCAAAAGAAAACTGATAGTGCTAGAATGAAAAGTAAAGATACAGTGACGACAACTGGAAAATGATGTCGGGGTACTTTTTCATTTGGGCATTTACCAAATGAGTCCCTTGTGAGTATCAAAAATCTAACCCAATGTTTGTAATAAGAGGAATAGAGTAGAGCACAGGGAAGAATTTTTTTAACTTCCCTATTTTTCTATTTCCCTAGTACTCCCATCTCCAAAATTTACAATTTTCTATCATTTTCCTCTCCCGTGGGATCTGCCCCTACCCTCCACTAGAGCACTGACCTGCCTCTGGGCCGCCTCTCTCCCCCCTTCAGGGAGCAGACAGCAGAGACTTCCAGATGAACCAGGCTCTGCGGCTTCTGGAGAATGAGCACCAGGAGCTGCAGGCCAAGATCGAATGCCTGCAGGGAGACAGAGACCTGAGCAGCTCGGATACCCAGCACCTGCAAGGTACCCTTCTCCTTGGGGGCCTCTGAGTGGGCCCAGAGAAAGCAGCTGGGCGGAGAAAAAGGCTTCATGCAGCCTTTCATTTGGTTGGTTGGTTGGCTCTAAGATTCCATTTCACCTTAAGGGAAAGGCAGGGCTGTTTTGATCATCCAGTGCTGAAAATTAATTCTGCGGCACTGGAGAATCTGGTAGTATCAGCTCTTCTCCAGCCCATCCCTCTGGGCCGGACCACAGCTGCTCCACATGTGTCACATGTGTCAAGGTAGCATTCCTGGTTTGAAAGGGAAAGGTCAGCGGAAAGGTCTCCATCCCAGCCTCTGCGGTCAGCTGAGAGGACCACACTGCGGGCATATACAACACTTAATTCAACCCCACTTGTTGATGCAAGTGGCATCCAAGGTGCTTCGGTTCTGGTTTACCTCGTCCCCCTGGGGCAAGTAGAAGGAAGAACTTCCACTCACACATACCAGAGGCCATGGACAAGGCAGTGCCTATTACGAATTTCCATCCTCGGGTGTCGAGTTCATTTGTCTTGGGTTTTTCTATTTTGGTTCATTTTATTTCATTTTTAGATCAACTAAAGAGGTCAGAGGAGGAGAAACTCACCCTGGTGACCAAAGTACAGCAGTTGCAGAGTAAGTTCCCTTTCCAGCCTCGAATAGTGGCACAGGTGGCGTTTTGGTGTGCCCGGGGCTCCTGCCCTGGGAAAGGCAGCCAGAGGAGGGATGGGGGCCCAGTGTTTGGCATCTCCCCTACCTCTGTGCATTTTCAGGCCCTCTTCTTATGAAATGAGGTCACTTACATAGCTCTGCACAAGTTATATCTTAGCCTGTTCTTTTTCCTGTTTTTCTCTTCCCATGCCAATGACAACCACCTGCATTTCTCCTAGAACTACAGATTTTAAGCGTTTTTTAAAGTAGTTTTGTATATTCTTATTATGTACATGAATATACCATAGACCTTGTTACTAGGAATGGTTCAGAAAATAAGCTCACATTATGCCTCAGATGTCCCTTTTTCCCCCATTGATCCCCTCTAACCTGCACCCCCCAGGCCTTCACTACACTATTGTGTGTGTCCATGGGTTATGCATTTATGCATATAAGTTATTTGATTAATCTCTCCCAACCCACTTCCCCACCCCTGCCTTCCCTCTGAGATTCGACTGTCTGTTCCATGCTTCTATGTCTCTGTATCTATTTTGTAATCATGCTTTTATTTATTCAATACATATTGAGTGAGCCCCTACCAAGGGCCAGGCACTCTAGCTATACCCACCGAGGATACAGTAATGAACATAACTGACACAGTTCCTTCCCTCGTGAAGCTTACATTCTAAGTAAGCTCTAAAGTATGGAGTTTCTGTGAACAAATAAATGTGTGTCAGGTAGTGATAACTGCTATGGAGAAAAACAAAGCAGGTTAAAGGAAAATATTTGCTATTTTATACAGGGTCATCTGGGAAAGCCTTTCTTCTAAGGTAACATTTAAGAAGAGACTTAAAGACATGGTAGGAAGAGATATAAGGATGGCGTATTCATAACAGTACCACAGACTGGGTGCCTTAAAGGACAGAAATTTATTTTCTCATAGTTCTAGAGCCTAGAAAATGATTAAGACGTCAGCAAGGTTGGTTCCATCTGAGAGTTTTGAGGGAATGATCTGTTCCAGGCTACTTTCCTTTGGTTTGTAGATGGCCGTCTTCTCCATGTGTCTCTTCACATGTCTTCCAGCTATGCATATCTGTGTCCAAATGTCCTTCTTCTTATAAGGACACCAGTCATATTAGATTAGGGCCACCCAATGTCCTATTTTAACTTGATTACCTCTGTAAAATACCTATTTCCAAAAAGGTTACAAGATGAGGTAATGGGGGTTAGGATTTCAACATATGAATTTGGGGGAAATACAATTCAACCCATAACAGATGGAAACACCTTTAATAATTAACGTTCTGAGCAAAGTTCTGAAAAGACATTCTTTGCAGTAAATATGCTAGCACAGACAAGTTTCTCATATTTTCCAACAGGTCTGCTTCAGAGTCAATCCTTACAGCTTCAAGAGCAGGAGAAACTCTTAACAAAGAAAGGTCAGCAAATTTACTTCCACAGATTCTAAGACAATGCTCTTTCCATGCCTGCCTAGAGGCAGGGGATGGACTACATGACCTCTTGGAGTCCCATCCATTTCTGGGAGTCTGTTAGGTCAGGGATATGGGGAAGCTCTGTAAGGACTGATCACTGGCTCTGAGAATACTTTAACTAGTTAGTCTCCTATCCTGAGAGGTATGTAAACTTTGAAAAAGGATTTCTACCCTCCCTGAAAACATGTCTATGTTAAACATTTCAATAAATTGATTTGAACTCAGGATTTCATGTCCATTTTTACACTTGATTTTCCAAATCACATCCAACTTCCCAAGTCTAAACCATGTTGCATGCAACAGTCACCTCGCTCTCAGCCCCCAAAAGTTTGCTGCCTTAGCTTCCTGAGAAGAATTCATCATGTACATGGAGAGGCAAAACCTCCTCACTTATCCGCTACACATGGCCTTTTCTCATCAGAATCACTGGGTGAAACATAAGGCAGGAATTATGATGCCCACATAGTATGGATAAGACAATGAAGGCCTACAATCAAAGACACAGCTAAGACAAGAATCCAGAATTTCCAACTCCTAGTCCAGTGCGCTCGTCATAAGACTAAGACTGCCAGGTGGCTGAAAAGCCACCTTTAATCACATGAAGATGAATTCAGGGACATGACTGCCTTCTCATGACTGAAATGAGGACAGACGGGAAAGGGGGTCATACTGAAGCATCCAGCAAACCTACCAGACAAACTAGAAAGGATGTGACTCATAACCCAAGAAACTGGATTCATAAGTGTACTCTAAAAGTATCTGGCATTAGAGAGGACTAGGGATACAAAGAAAAGTAAGATGCCAACCTTGCCCTCAATGGGGCTCAAATTCCAGCTCTGTCCAGGCTAAGCAGGGTCCCAATGGGAGTTCTTTAAAAGTCAGAGAATTCCATTCTATGAGATCTAACCAAAGACAGGCCCTCCCTTTTCCCCCTCCCCTTCCTTCCCCTCACTCCCAGGCGTTCTCTCGGTGACAGGGCCCTTCCTCAGAGGTGTGGGCCTTACCATCACTGAGAATCTGGCTGCTTTTTTAGATGAGGCTCTGTCTGTGTGGAGTCCAAAGCCCTCCCATAACGAAGTGGAGCCAGAGGGTACAGGGAAGGAAAAAGACTGGGATTTCAGAGACCAGCTGCAAAAGACGACTTTGCAGCTCCAGGCCAAGGAAAAGGAGGTGAGATGGTGAGACGGTGACCTCAGACAGTGGGGAGCTCAGCCCATAGAGATAGGGAAAACTGCTGGGAGGCATCCAGAGAGCAGGGATTCCAACATCCACGTTGTGACTGGATGTCTGCAGGTATTCATTTGCCTGTAAAAAATGTTTTTGCTCTAGGGTTAACCTGTCAATCTTTTCCCATCCTTATGTATACCAACCCTTATTCATTTTGTTAGTTACCTTTTAGTAAGTCAACCTAAATTCAAACACATTTAATAAACATTAACTCCTCAAACTTTTTCCTACACTGAGTATGTTAAAACTTTATAGTCTCTTAGGTAACAAAACTCTTCCTGTCTACAAATTCACAAATGCATATCCTCAGCTACTGGCAAAGAGATTTGTACTATGATCACTTCCAGGTCATTTCTTAGCGTCCCTGTTTAGAGTACTTGCACACTGTCACAAGAAAGCACTTACTTATAGAATATATAATCATTCCTGTAAATCACTTGTGTAAATGAACACATTCCAGACAAACATGGTGAAATAGTCAAAGGGCAAACTGAAATCACTAAGAAAGCCTGGGAAGGAAAGGAGGTGGTACAAATTCCAAATGAATGAAGGGGTGACTTATATGGGGACCCTCCCTTACCTGGTGATGACCTTGGTGTGTTCTCCCCTCAGTGCAGAGAACTGCATTCAGAGTTAGACAACCTCAGTGACGAGTATCTCTCCTGCCTGCGTAAGCTGCAGCACTGTCGAGAAGAGCTGAACCAAGGCCAGCAGCTGCCTCCCAGAGTAAGAGCATCGATCCTCCCATAGAGCCCTAGATGATGGTGGGACTACTCCTCCTTTAGCAAAATCTCGCAGATAAAATTTATCAGGCCATCTGAACAGCTGGCCCATCTGGCCAACATCTGACCAGCCTATCCCATTCAGCCTGGTTTATACTAACAGTATAGCAACTATGGAAAGAAACACTGGCTTATGCATCCGAGCCTAATTTTCATGGAACTCTTAAACCTAAAGGGACTTACTATTAGCTAAAGTATGAAATGGTGTTTTTTAGCCTACTGAGTGTTGTAGTGGCAAGGACGGAATGAGGAGAGAAAAGTACTAAAGACCATGAACAGAGAATAGATTTTTGCTGAGTTATTTTCCACCTTTGACTGGACATACCAGTATTTAAGTATCTGGCCCCAGCTGGCTGTGGTTTGCTGGGCCAATGGTCCTGGCTTATGGGCCAATGACTACCAGTAAAGTGGTTTTATCCCAAGGGAGGTGACAGATACAGACAGTAATGTAAAAACCTTTCCCTCCTCCACCAACCCAAGATTCTTGCACTGGGCCAGAATGGGAAGGAAGATTATTTTTGCCTGTATCTTCTCCAACCAACCCACGGCTTCTTTCTCCCGCCCCCCGCAGAGGCAGTGTGGTCGGTGGCTATCCGTGCTGATGGTGATGGTTGCTATAGCACTGGCAGTGTTCCTGGCCAACAAGGACAGCCTGATGATCTGAATAACTTGTGACAGCTGCCTTGGGTGAAACTTCACAAGCAAGAAACTCAATAAAAAACTCAGGTGGTTTGGTTAAAGTGTGGCTTTTCCCAACTTAACTGAGATTTCTGACTTTATTATTTTTTCAATCTACTGTAAAATAAACAAATAAACTTCACTTGTCAGTCTCTGTTCCCCAGAATTCTGTTTATTCATGAACAACCCACCTATCACATCAGAAATATAACACACTTGAGCATCCTGGTCTACTCTCTTTAGTCCAATTCAGTTGGAGGTACATAAACATGCTGTAAAGCCCAGTCCTGCTACTTTCTGGTGAACACTACCCAGGTACATTTACAATGCTACCATACCACACATAGTATACATGGATACACTACTTATACTCTACCTCCCTTCCTCTTCTCCACCATCTTTTTTCAAAAATAACTATTTTTTCCCATTACTTTTTTTTTTAAATCCTCACCTGAGGATATTTTTTCCATTGCTTTTCAGAGAGTGGAAGGGGGAGCGGGAGGGGGAGAGAGAGGGGAAGAGAGGGAGAGAGAGGGAGAGAGAGGGAGAGGGAGGGAGAGGGAGAGAGGGGGAAAGAGAGGGATAGAAACATCAATGTGAGAGAGACACATCGACTGTTTGCTTCCAGCACACCCTTGGCCAGAATCGAACCCGACACTCTACCCACTGAGCCAAACCAGCTAGGGCTCTATTATCATTTATCCCCTATTACCCTCCTCCACATCCATGCCCCCCCACCTCAACCCCGTTCTTCACAATCTCTTTCCTTCTATCTTCTATCCAGTGAAAAAGGAATAGATATCTCATCTAAGTCAAGAGGACTCCGTAGCAAGTATGTACTACCAAGGCTGCCACAACCACTGCCTGGTCCCGTGCCCATCACAGGTGTGGCCAGATGCTTGGAAGTGGACCTTGAGATGATGCCTATTTGTAATCCCTGTCTTAGAGCTGAATATTTACTGAATACTTTCTACATGGGAGTTAGTCAGAGGGCCACAGCTGGCAGTGTGACTATCTCAGAGGAGATGCCGAGGTCAGCAAAGTCATTCTGAGTCCTACATCGAGTCCTAAGGTCCTTCTCCCAAGTGTTTAGAATGTCCCTCAGGGCTGGGAACAAGCTCTCTGGAACACTAAAGGAATAGAGCAAGACTGGAGGTTGACCAAGTAGCCATGAGATCCGGGCAGTGAATACCCGTAGTGGGGTCAGGGCTAAGCAGTTGCCATCTCCCTGGTTCAGGTGAAAGGTGTAGGGAACAGGATAGCCCAGGAGGATCCCAAACACAGTACAGAGATTCCAGTCTGAGGAATGGAGCCTGCTGCGGGAGACTGCCAGGGACAGGTCCTTCTGCAACCCCTGCAAATGGGTGATGATCTCAGCTATGAGGGACTTCAAGTCCTGAAGCTGGTCCAGGGAGTGGATAGAAGGGTGAGGTTGGGAGCTGGAAACATCCACAAAGGTTATAGTACCAAGCAGCACCTGCTCCAGGTGCTGGCATACATGCTCAGGTCTGACAATCAGGCTGTTTCCTCCAATCTCAAGGATGTGAAGTCCCTTGGTCAGGAAGCCCAGGCCCTGCAGCTCCTCAAGATAGCTCTGGAGCTCTGATGCCCCTGCACCGTTGCAATCATAAAGCAGCGCTGGCTTCAGTCCCCGGGCCACAGCCAGTATCTCTCCGGCTAGGTGAAGGCAGACAGCTCGGGGCGGGCCACGTCTCTTTCCCATGCCCAGGGTCTGCTGAGCAGCTGCCACCAGCAACTGAGGACTCGGTGCTGACATGCGATCTGGAAGCAACATCAGGCATGGCCTCCTTAACTAGCCACAGTTCCCTCCCCTGGGCCACATCTCTGAGCTCCAGACACTTGAAGGGCCTAAAAACAAAGCAGGACCAGGAAATCATTAACAGCAGCCAGTGACATACATACCAGGAAATCTGCCAACGGCCTTCCCCTGAGTCTTACAGCATCTTCCAAAGGTCATTTTTGACCCTCCTTCTGCTTTGGAATGCTTACCCAGGCCAGGCAGGGTGGGGTCAGCAATGCTGCCTGATTCCTACGGTTTACGTCAGTCTCCCTCATGTGTCTTTCTGGACTTAGGGCTAGATTTACATTCTTTCTGGCTTCTTTTCTAAATGGTATCTTTTGTAAATTACTTCTTCCAAGTCAAACTGTAAGAAGTTTGGGGCAAAGAAGAGGCGAGACAGTCTCTGGCAAAATTCAGAGCATTTCACCTCAAACTGCCCTCGGAGACCGAGTTCCAGGTCCCAGAGGCACTCTTTCCGCTGCCAGGTTCCGCTTCTCTTCCCACCGGAATGGTTCTGCGCATAGCAACCTGACTAAACCAACATGCACTAGGATGTGGGCTAACAGCCATCTCACCCTGGGACATAAAAGTAAAGGAGTGAAATACGTGAGAATCGCAGGAGGGCGGTATTTTAACGTCTGCGGGCCGCGCCACCCCCTTCTGGCCGGCATCCGCGGACCCTCGGCGGCGGGCTCACTCCAGTCCCCACACTCTTGGCTGAGCAAGTTGTGACTTCTTAAACCAGGCAGAGGCCTCTCTCCCACACACGTACGTCCTTCTTCCACTTCCGCTGCGGGCTCGCGGGCTCAGGATCGTCTTTCTCCCGTCCCGTGGCGCCGCCACGCAAGCGGCGAGCCCGGCGCTCCGCCGCCACACTGCAAATCCCGCCCACTCGGCTTCCGGTCGGCGACGTCGGCCTGCTGCGCATGCCCAACGCGACTCCGACCCCGCCCTCCTGCCTTCCGTGACGTCATCCAGCCCGCTCGCGCGCCTCGCGTTAGTACCACGGGCGCCCTAGGGCAGCGCTTTCGGGCCAGACGGAAGCCGGCCCCGCCCGTTGCGTAGCAACGCGAGGGGCGGAAGTGGCCCGGGAAGGCGGGACCCGGAGGGCTGGCCGCCGGCTGCTGCGGCCGCTTGGCTTCCGGCAGCTGCCCCGCGCCACCGGGACGTCAGGAGCCGGACACGCGGTGCGAAAACACTCATTTCTGTCTGGAGAGGTGCGATTACCCCTGCAGACGAGATTTATCGCAAGACGATCGGCGGCGCGTTTTGCGGACGCTGCACACCTGTGGGCGGTGCTGCGAAGTTCTCGGGCCTTGTTTTGTGACTTGAACTCCGAGCCGCCGGAATCCTGAAGTTGAGCGGCTCGGTTGTGCGACGCGGGCGGACAGGCGCTCCCCCGGCCCGGGCTGAGCAGGAGGGCGCCCTGGGAACAGCCGCGAGCTGGGCAGGCTGCTGGGAGGTTAGCAGAGCGCGCAGGACAAAGGCCGCCTTCGCGGAGGTCAAGCCCTAGGAATTCAATGTGCTGACTTCACGGGAGAAATGAGACGCGGAGATGCAGAGGCTTTTCGATCACGCCTTTAAGAAGAAAAAGCTATTTCGCGGAAGGGTTAGCACCTCTTCAACTACCAGCGATATGACCCATACAACAAAGGGAAAGGTTTTGAGAAACCTCGTGTCTGAGGATAGGGCCCAGATGTATTGATAATATGAGCAGGGCAGGGGCAAAGGGGACTGCAGGCACCTGCACTGGAGCTTTCACTCCTGGTTCTGCCCTGGCAGAGTCTTCAGACAATGAGATGACTGCAATAAAGATGGGGCCAGCCTGGAAGGAGGACCAGCTGGCAGGCCTCCTGGTCTAATGCTGGTCCTTCCCTCAGGGAGACCAGAAACGAATTTCAGAATTTTTTTCCTTCCCCGTATTTATTTTACCATGGTGCCTACCGATAAATCCCTAAAATGACTGACTTAGTTCCTTCACCGATTCCAACAATATCTGAAAACATACTCCGTTACCAGACAATAGGCTAAGGGCTTGCAGCAAAGTCCAGAACAAACAGTGTCCACCTTCAGTAAGTTTGTAGACAAGACACAGATGCTGAGCAATTACAAGGGAATTGATGGCTCTGAAAGAGGAAGTTTAGGGTGCTATGGCAACATTGGCCAGAGACCTAACTACCTGCAGGAGGGACCAGCCCAGATCCAACACCGGCCCTCCCTACAGTGGGTTCTTTTGAACTTTGAGGTAACTTTGGTTGGTAGAGTGGACAGTGGAGAAAAAAAAGAGCTGGTGACACCATTTAATTTCTTCCCAGTCTTCAGCAAGATGAAGGCGAGGAAGTGAAGACGCCAAAGGAGTGTGTGGTTTCGCCACCAAAGGAGACAGTAAACTGAGTCTCCAAAACAGAAAGGACACCTGGTATCTATCCAGCAGGACCAGAGCAGGAACACTAAGGGAGCTCAGCGGAGAGCTCTGCATGCAGTCTTCCAGCATCTGAAAAGGATTTAAAGAAAACCCAACTGGGCTCTAGTTAAAACCACATAAAACCACTCATCCATTCCTCTGACATGTTTATAAAGCTTTCATTACAGTCACACACTAAAAGTTTGATGCTTCCTGGCACTTCGGAACACTATTTTCAATACCCGTGGCCGGCTCACATTATCTGGGCCCCAAACCAGTGTGGACTACCTGGCTGTTAGCATCTCACAGAATAAGAGAAAGACCAGCCCAGATTCAACAGTTGCCCTACCCATTTATCTACAGTGAGTTCTTTATCATTTTGAGCTATGCAGACACAGAGGTAGCCAGACATCAAACCAAATCCCTCACTTCACCCACTCAACAAAATAACCAAAAATATAAAGTTTCTATACCTTGTATGTTTCCTGGGCTCTAGAAGCCCAATTTCTGCTCACAGCTGAGCAGCACACATTTACCCAGATTTCTCTTGGTTATGTTTTAGTAACAGCAGATCCTACTAGGTCCCAGAGGACCTAAAACTAGGGCTTAATTATTCTCAATAAGCTGCCCTAGCTACTTTTGCTCAGTGGTTAGAGCATCAGCCTGTGGACTGAAGGGTTCCAGGTTCTGTTCCAGCCAAGGGCATGTACCTCAGTTGCAGGCTCAATCCCAGGCCCTGGTTGGGGTACATGCAGGAGGCAACCAATTGATGTGTCTCTCTCACATCGATCTTTCTCTTTCTCTCCCCCTTACACTCTCTCTGAAAAGAAATGGAAAAAATATCCTTGGGTGAGAATAAGTAAATAAGTAAATAAATAAATAAATAAATAAATAAATAAAACAAATCCCACTGCCACCTGTAGTTGAGTTGAGGCTATGGTTTTTGAAATAAAGCTAGCCCAATTTTTCAGCTAGCTCAACTCCGGTAGCAAGTAGGAGGTGGCTTGGGTTTAGGGGTAGCAGACTAGCCATGGGCTTTCTAAATATGGCCCGGCACCAATAGCCATCAGTATTCAAGAGGACTGGGGCTGCTACAAGAGATTAGCGTCATATTTTCCATTTAGGTCTTGAAGTTTAAATCGTGTATGATTTCGTCCTTAAAAAAAAAAAGGCAAAAGGTTCAAGGGCCAAGCAAAAGTTAATAGATAAGACCAGTTTGTGGCACCTATACATGCAAAGTTCTGCACCTTAATTATTCACACCCAGCTGCCTCCACTAGGGAGACAAGCAGGTTTGTGCTAGGTGAAACTTTTCCAGAAAACACTGCCCAGCCCTTCTTCACCTTGGCCTTAGCACACTTGACACCCTATTTTTCCCAAATGCAAATAACCCAAATGACAGAAAGACTATAATTCTCCCAACAAGGAAGAATTGCTCCTTTTATACTCAGAGGAGTTTTCCTAGATGCTCAGCTCATCCCCAGGTCTTCCTCAGGGAATAAAAAAAGTAAGAGAGAGCTCTGTCCTCTCTGAAGGCTGCCACCAAGTCAAACACTCTCACCTACCCCCCAACACAGTGGGTGCTGAGTGGTGGTAAGGTAAACACCAGCCAACCAATTCTTCCACGGGATCCCTGGGCCTTCTATGTTGACAGCTTCCCTTTAGAAGCTCAATTTATGAGCGTTTACTCCACAGGTGTGACTTTCAGACTTTGGCACCTATTTCTATTTAGATATCAAGTCTGGTTCCTAAGCAACCAGCTGGCTCCCCTCCCTCTCACTTCCCCCATCAGGGAGCCAGCTTACTATACTAGCAGAACAGGTCAAACAGAGATCAATCCTGGACAAATCAGCGCTTGAGGGAACTTTAATGAAAGCAAGAAAAAAAAAAGTGGTACAAGAACAATTCAGAAGGGTTCTGTTTCAGGCAGTTTTGCCTTGTACAAGTAGAATGAAGTCATCGAGTCAGAGTTTTAAAGCTGGCATTGCCCTGGCTGGTTTGGTTCAGGAATGAACAGTCCCGGGTTTGATTCTGGCCATGGGCATGTACCTCAGTTGCAGATTCAGTCCCTGGCCCCCGTTGGGGCCTGTGCAAGAAGCAACCAATCGATGTGTCACCCTCACATCAATGTTTCTTTCTCTCTCTCTCTTTCTCTCTTTTTCTTTCTCTCCCTCCCTTCCACTCTCTCTGAAAAGCAATGGAAAAAAATATCCTTGGGTGAAGATTAAAAAAAAAAAGAAGAAAGCTGGCATTATTTCAGGCATCATTCAAACCCCTTCACTTTACAGTAATGAAGCTGAAGCCCAAAGGTTAAGTGACTTGGTTCAAGGTTGCACATTGAGAGCAAAGCTGTAGCTAGGACCCTAGTGTCCAAACTCCCAGGCCAAATCTCCTTCTACTACATTATACTACCATTGGGATGTTTAAAAAAAGAAAGGGAAAGTATAAAGGGTGATTTTTCCATAAATTAAATCAACTTTGAGAACCAGACATAGCTGGAGAGTCAGAAACTACTAACATTGTTAGAAAGAAAAGAGGTTTAAAAAGCTGGTTAAATCTGAATAATAAAAAATATCCATCTGTACAATATTGTAAAAAAGACAAGGAAGACGGCATTCAGGGTTACTGAGCCGGCAGGGCAGGGGGCAACTGCATGCTGGGGGGAGGCTGCATGGGCTGCCAGCTTTCCTGGGTCTGAAGGATGCGATACAGCTGCTTCAGCTGGGCAACGATGTTATCTTTGATGTCTGGAGTTGAGATCTGCAGGCGGACACTGCCGCTGTCAAAGGATCGTGTGAAATCGCCGGAAAACATCTCGTAGATCATCCGAGCCACCACCGGAATAACCTGTTTAGGACACAGAGCACACAGGTATCTGCTGAGGAAAAGGTATTTTTAAACAGCGGGTGGGACCCAAGATTGAAGGAAGGACCGGTGAGGCCCTGGGGAAGCCCCCCCACTCTAGATATAGGATATGCCTTCGTCTCTCTGAAACACCCTACTAAGGTTCACTCTAAAAGTTGGTTCAAATGAAGGTAAAGAATCTAGATGTCCCATTGCATCACATACCTAAACAAATAACTGCTTATTTAGCAAGACTTGTACCCCAATTTCATCTACCGCCTGCCTTCTTGTACAAATCCAGGGGCCAAACCCACGTGGTCTTGCTTCTACTTCCTAGAATAAGGTTATGTTCTTAAAAGTAATTCGAAGGTTTTTGTAAAAGAGCTGAAACGGGTCATATCCTGTTAGGTTTCAGCAAGACTCTAATGTCAGTAAGAGAATGAGAGACTAAATGCCGTTTTGGGGACCCTGTATTCCCCAGCGTGGACCTACTGTTCAATGTACAGAGCTGGAGGGGATTCAAATCCATACAGGCTGATGGGTCCTCGCTCAAGGCTCTACCTCAGACCTAGGGGCTAAAGCTTTGATAAAAAGGTAAAGAGTTATTTGACACACCCTTATTTCCTCAC